TATTTTCAGTAGAACCAGGGTTTCTCCATGTTGGTCAGGCTGGTCTCAAACTCCCAACCTCAGGTGATCCACCTGCCTCGGCCTCCCAAAGTGCTGGGATTACAGGCGGAGCCACTGCGCCTGGTTGGGTGTTAACAATTTTAAGAAGTGGGCATGGGAGGTGTCTTTGGCAAGGGGCCTATAAAGTAGGTGAGGTAAAGAGCTGTGGGAACATCTGGGGCTAGAGCATTCCAGGCAGAGGACCCAGGCCGTGCAAAGGCCCTGAGGCAGGACCGCGCCTGGTGAGTTGGAGGAACAGCGAGGAGGCCCAGGTGTCTGCAGCAGAGTGGGGAGGGGGAGAGACAGAGGAGGGAAGGTGGGAGAAAAGTAGGGGGCTCTTCATGCCTGCATTGACCCCACCCGGGCTTGGCCCCACGCCCAAATCTTGGAGGCCTCCTAACCTCCTGCTGCCTCCGTTCCTTGTGCTGTTCCAGGCCCCGGATCTTCTGCAGGAGGCGGCCCCTCTCCTGGCGCAGCCTCACGATCTCCTCATAGGCATCTCGATCATCCTGTTCCCCTCCCCGCCCGCGGCCTTTAGATGGGGCCTAAGGTTTCCCCATCCCAGGCCTCAGCCAGAGCCCCACCCTGTGCCTGGGGGCTCCCCACGCCTCCTCCCGTACCCGGAGCATCTCTCACCGGCATGGGGATGCTGGCAGGAGGTGGAGGCGCCTTCCGCTTCTTGGGGGCCCCCTGCTTTCCATGGCTGGACATAGAGTTCTGGGAAGGGAGGGGAGAGAGGGTGAAGAGGGCAGATCGGGGGGCCATGCCAGCCTCCCCGACAGTAAACCAACCTAGCCAGCCCCAGTCATGGCCTGACTTCCCGTAAACACGGAACCAGCCCCTGCCTCCTCCCCCTTGCTTATCCCAGCAAAACGCAGACAAGACCACCTCCCTGTAAGTTCCAGATCTTACTCTTCACTCTCTGCTCCTCTCTGTGCCTCAGTTCTTTGCCCAGCTAGGCCACAGTGCCCACATGTTTTCACTCCTCTGTGGAACAGAGATGCTTTAAAACTGGGAGAGGGGCTGGGTGTGGTGGCTCACACCTGTAATCCCAGCACTTTGGGAGGCCAAGGCGGGTGGTCACTGGAGGTCAGGAGTTCGAGAGCAGCCTGAACAACATACAGTGAAACCCTGTTTCTACTAAAAAATACAAAAAATTAGCTGGGTGTGGTGGCACCCAGCTACTCAGGAAACTGAGGCAGAAAAAGCACTTGAACTCGGGAGGTGGAGGTCGCAGTGAGTTGAGATCACACCACTGCACTGCAGCCTGGGTGACAGAGCGAGACTCCATCTCTCAAAAAATAAACAAAACAAAAAACAAAAAACAAACAAACAAAAAAACTGGGAGGGGCTGGGCACGGTGGCTCACGTCTATAATCCCAGCACTTTGGGAGGCTGAGGCGGGTGGATCACTTGAGGCCAGGAGTTTGAGACCAGCCTGGCCAGCATGGTCAAACCCCGTCTCTACTAAAAATACAAAAATTAGCCAGGTGTGGTGGGTGCCTGTAATCCTAGCTACCAGGGAGGCTGAGGCAGGAGAATCGCTTGAACTCAGGGGGTGGAGGTTGCAGTGAGCCAAGATCGAGCCACTGCACTCCAGCCTGGGCAACAGAGCGAGACTCCGTCTCGCGGGGAAAAAAAAAAAGAAAAACTGAAAGAGGGGAAGAGGCCAGATCTGCTTTCCTCCCTGAAGACAACAACCCTCAACAACCTCAGTCCCCACTGCCCTCCCACCCCAGCCCCATAATTTGGCCCCATACCCCCAGTATTCTCACCCAGTTCTGGGAGTTAGGCTGGGCACACTGCCGCCACTTGGTGGCAGCATACCCTGAAGGTAGGATTCTTTCCAAACAGGTTTTCCCAGGTCTAACTTCCTTCTCTTCTCACAGAGCTTGGGGCAGGGGAGAAGTTAGTGTGGTTGCAGGGAGGAGGGGCTCCTTCACTGCTTAGGGGTCCATACCTGAGATGACGCCTCGCCTGAGTCATCCTCTGTGAGGGCCAGGGAGAGAGGGAAGCAGGGTCAGACATTCTGTTCCCAGCCCCAGGAAGGGCATTGGTGGGCCCCAGGGACTTGTAGGGGGTTCCTGATTTCCCCGAGAATCAGGGCGTTTAAGGTAGAAATCTGGTGCTTGGGTAGAGTGCTGATAGAGCGACTTGAGACTCTTAAAAAGAGAGGACAGGCCGGGTGCGGTGGCTCATGCCTATAATCCCAGCATTCTGGGAGGCCGAGACGGATGGATCACCTGAGTTCAGGAGTTCGAGACCAGCCTGGACAATGTGGCGAAACCCCGACTCCACTAAAAAAACAAAAATTGGCCAGGCGTGGTGGCAGGCACCTGGAGTCCCAGCTACTCAGGAGGATGAGGCAGGAGATTTGTTTGAACCACGTGTGGCTAATTTTTGTATTTTTAGTGGAGACAGGGTTTCACCATGTTGGTCAAGCTGGTCTCGAACCCCTGACCTCAAGTGATTCGCCCACCTCGGCCTCCCAAAGTGCTGGGATTACAGGCATGAGCCACCTTGCCTAGCAGGGATGCCCTTCTTAGGAGACACAAAGTTTTGTTTTGGTTTGGTTTTTGGTTTTTTTGTTTTTGTTTTTGTGTTTTTTTTGAGATGGAGTCTCGCTCTGTCGCCCAGGCTGGAGTGCAGTGGCCAGATCTCAGCTCACTGCAAGCTCCGCCTCCCAGC